TTTAGGGTACCCCACAAGGGACCATCATTTTGACAACTACCCATATCTATTAGATGTGACCCGAAACCAGAGGATGCGGCTTTTCGGTGGGGTTTTAGACAGCCTCGGTCAAAGACGGCAGGGGGGATGAGCCCTGGCACAGCCCCAGCTTGGTAATTTCAGGTGCAGTTTGGTTAGAACTCAACGATAGGGTTTGGGGTTTAGGGTTTCTATAAGGTTTGGGGTTTAGGGTTTAGGGTATATAAATCCCTTTTAGGGTTTCGGGTTTTGGAAACTTCTGAACTTCCTGCACTTGCGAAACCCCTCAACACCGACTTTGCTAGTTCGTGCTGAGCCGGCTGGGGTTCGGGCCTCCGACCCTTCAACGTTCCTTGAGCCCGTCGGTACTTTGTGGATCGGAATTTGTTTCTGCTACTTCCAGAAGCGTTGTAGTACTAGTAGCTTTGTTCGGAATAATAAGAGCGGCATCCACCCGAAACCCAAGTCTTAGTCTTAGTCTACTCCTTCTGGTTGCTTTTTTCCTCCCACTCGACAAACCCTATAGAAGCCGGCCTTTGGATCCAAGAACCTGCTGCTTTCCCATTGGAGCAACACCCATATGGGTAGCTCTCTTTTTAGAAGGGTGCCGTACTATATTGGGGACCTAAAAAAGGAGCCCTAATTAAGAGAACTACCCATATCCCTAACCCCTAAACCCTATAAACCCCGAATCGCTGACCTGCTTCACTTCACGGTGCACGCGAACTTTGTTCAGGGCTGTTCTGCACACGTCGCTGTCATTTCATCCTTCTTCATCATCGCCAGCAACGTTCCCTATGCGCCTATAAAGACAAAGCATAAACCCCAATACCGCCCCAAGATCGGGTAGCCCACGCCCTCGAAGGCGTAATAGACCCTCCAATCGAGTCCTCAGTGGGTTCTTGTTTATAAGGCTTGGGGATTCAGCGCTGTGACCCCTAAGCCATAAACAGTGAGGCACCCAACTCCCGAACGCTTCAGGTCCAGTAGGACAGATAACTTAACCTGGAAAACCTGTGCAATCCCAAAACCTGAGGACCTTTCCCCTGTCTTAAACAACAGCAAAGCTTGAGTTTTCAGTCATGAGTGCCATAAACCCTAAACCCTAAACCCTAAACCCTAAACCCCCCTACGCAACCCCAGGCCTGAATACCTGAACCCACCAACCCTAAACTTCAAATCCTAAACTTTATAGACCTCTGGGCCTCGAGCTGAAGACAAAGACCAATCCTGAACTCCTAAATGAATCCAACAAAACCCACGAATCTAAAAAAAGAGTATATAATGTATATACATAATATGTATACACACTCGGAAACACCTCGACTCTTGTTGTGTAAGATGGGCTAAGAACCCACCCAAACCTGCATTGTGTATGCAATCCTGAAGCGCCCGATTCTTGATGAGAACCTAAATCTTATAAAGCTTATATAGCCCTGAAACCCCCAAACCGTCGCAACCCGGAAACCCCACATCATCCTAAAACGTTGTCGAAATTCACCCATCCCCAAACCCTCGTACCCCCAGAAGCCTGAACACCTCCAACCCAAAACCCCTCAGCCTCACAGCGCTGCGCCAGCGCTGTCAACGCCGGCTGCAGCAGGAACCAAGGCCTCGCAAGGAGCAGGGACTGCAAGACTAAGACTGTTGTAAGACTGTTGCTGCAGAAAGGGGGTTGACCCCTCGAAATTCCTCTCCGCATGCATCTCCGCATGAGCCGCTAGACACTCCTATGTAGTGTCTCTTTTTGACTCCCGTGCTTTCTCGTCATCCGGCCATCGGGCTGCAGGGCATTTCTCCGGGCAAGCGCGTGTTGAAGACTTCTGCACCCTGGGAGATGCGACGCCGATGGCCAAGGAGCGACGGCAATGCGTGCGGTGGCGGAGGCTGCGCAGTGGGGGCAAGCATCTCCTTTCTGTCTGCACGCATGCCCTGGTCCCACGTCCTAGCCGGAGGGAGCTCCAACAAAGGATAAGCCACAGAATGCGCATGGCTCATCGTCTGCTGCGCGGTGTAGCCGTCGGGCGCCCCGGCAGGCTCTGCACCGGTGATGAAGTCCAATGCAGCCATTACGGAGTTGTATACTCCAAGCCTATACTGAACTTAGACCCCTAGCAAAATTATAATTTTAGCTGCTTCTTAGGGTTTGTAGTAGCCAAAGATTAAAAATTATTTCTAAGTACCCCTAAGCATGTAGGGGCCTTGATAATTAGAGCAGGGTTTTG